TATCGAACTAAGCACTCTCTACTTCCGCATAGAAGGACTCATATGTTCCGTTCAAATTGGGTACATGGACCTGTAATAAAGTCAACGCTTTAGCCTGCTGTAGGCTTAGTCTGTAGATCCTATTTTTCCGCTGACAGACTTCTATTGAATGATTCTATCAACCAGGTTAGGTTCACATGATCACAAACACAGGCATGAGCGTGTGTCGTGATGCTGACATTTGAGTAAAATAACTTCCATCTGTAGAGGTTCAGAATTCCAGATTGTTGGCGCTTCATTGACGAGAGCCCAACTATTTCGAGTTGATACCATCAGTTAGCTAATGCTTTTGTCCTCTGAGTGAAGATATGTTCAAATTTCCGACTCAAAGCTTCCGCAGACGGTATTGTTTTCGTGGAGTCTCATGTGATGTTCTATAATGGCATTGCGTTGTTCCTCCTCCACCGTCCAAAACGGATAATGACTCCGTTGCTATCTTCGCCGCCGCTTCGTCGACTTTTAACAGCCATTGTTGTGCTGTTATCCCTCCTCTCGCCACTAGAAGGCGAGGAGCAGGTTTAAATAAATATTTAAAGTATTTAATATTCTTTTACAGTATATTTAAGTCGGTAGAGAACTGTGTTTATCGACGGTGAGACAACATTTTAATGGCGTTTATCTGCTCTCTGATTTTCAGGATCCAATAAATTTTATGGATTCCGCAACTAATATTTGAACAGTACACCGAAGCAGACTAGTTGTTGGTGTACGGTTCTGTCGTTTTAATTTAACTTTTGAAGAAATATCGAGTGACTGAGATATGGTAATGTAGTACAAAATGTGATTGATCTGTTGGTTCTGAATTTTTGATTGAAAGATGTCACCGTTTGTTTTTTGTGATTTTTGCCAGTTTCTCTGTTAGAGTTGTATCCTATCTAATGTTTTGAAACATTTCTCTCGTTAATATCAGTATATGATGGTATTGCTGATGTTGAGTTGCATTTCCTTTTGTTCTGTTTTTGCGATCATAATATGACAGATAAGTGATATTTAGTTCGAATATAAAATATGTAATAAGTGGAAGCTTTCGATTATTACATAAATGTTCCTTTATCAGCACTGGAGCAACTTTTAAACAGTTCCTATCTCTTGTAACTTCTCCAGATTGAAAGGTCGTAATCACGCTGTCTCCTTGCTTCTAGTAGCCTATAGGATCGTTTAATCAGGCTACGTTTCCGTGGTATGTTACACCTTTTGTGCTTAATTACGAAATCGCACAATTTTGTTTGGTCGACCAATAACCTGTTGGAACAACGACAGATAAACCTTGGTCTGTAAAAAGCGTTGTCTGCGAAGTTGGTTCGTTGTCCTTTTTGAAATAAACCATCTAGAAAATGTAACCTTTTGGCAATTTATGTACTTTAATTTTTCTAGGTTTCAGGCAAGTTCTTCGAGTAAGAAAATATGTTGGACCCGAAAAACTTTTCGGAAGACGACGAACAAGAAGAGCTGGAGCCGATCGAAGATGCGGTAAAAGATGGTATCGAAAATGTAAGAACAGCATTTATGAGTCAGAGAAGACCGAAAATTCCATTATGTAATGTATGTTTACATGGACTCTGTGTGACCCTGTAGGTGTGACAGTTATAAGGTAAGCTGTTAAGTCTATCTTTTTATCCAGTGCACTAACGGTGTCCCATTGGCAGATCAGAAGAAATACTGCAGAAGATGATTTGAGCATTTTCAGCAGCTGCGCGACTACTGCCATGTGAATTCGTCATTTTCGATCGTTATTTCTTTGGCAACGCCAAAGGTTAGTTTAGATCGCCATAAAAAAACAAAAGCTTTGCTGCGTATCCAGGTTAGTAAGTACTGGGAGTGAATCGAATATATCTGGAGTTAATTAAATGTGAAGGAACGAGAATGGCAGAAAACCTCCATGCTTTGATTCGTCGAATGTGAATCTACAAATGTTTTCGCAGGGAAATGGAAGTGTGGAATAATTGTTGCCATATTTAAAGGGGTAGGGTAATGTTTCAGTTATCACAGTATCACACCGAGCAGTAACTCTCAAAAACTTTTAACCTTGCTTGTCCTGGAAAGGCTGAGGCAGGCAGCTGAATGGAGATTGCCAAAATCATGATGCGACCAAATATTTACTTGGAATAGAATCACTTTGCAGACGATTCCAGTTGCTTTTATTACTTTGCCAGTCTTCTTGACTTTAAGACTGCAGGAAATAGATCATATCGTTTCTCTTTTGAAAAAGATTTATGCAGGAAGCATGTATGCTGTGAAAGTTTAAGAACTATGTTAGTGGTTGCCCATTAACTGTGGAGTTCGCCACGGTGATGTGCTTTCGCTTTTGCTGTTCAGCATTGTTTTCAACTTTCTTCTTCTAAACAGCACTGCTCCTGGCAAAGTCTAAGCTCTCATTCTAGAGGGAAGACGCTTTTCACGATATCCGATTAGATATCTTGCTGACCTGGAGTACGCTGATGCTATTGTCCTAGTGAACAGTGTGCTGTCACTTAACGGCTTCGCTCTACAACATTGCTGCGAAAGTCGGCCTCTTCCTTAATGCCCGAAAGTCGAAAGTTATGAGGAACCCATCCGGCACAACAGATCTAAAAGTTGAACAGGGAAATGAATTCCTTCAGGCGGTTGACCAGCTTAAGCATATCGGCTTCATCATCTCTAACAACGGATACTCTCCAGCCAGAGGTAAATAGTGTTTCTGAAGACATGTTTAATATTTCGGCTGATAAAACAGATAATATTCTCATGAAAATCTGTCTTGACGTTGCACCTGTCAGGTCACTGTACGACAGGGAGATATTTGTTCCAATGAAGGAGCAAAAACGACGACTGAGTTGCGTACAACAGCGTTGGCTTCGGCCCATAGTGGGGATTAGATGGCAGGATCATGTAGGAAATGTTCACCCGTATTCTCTTTTGGGCACAGGTGACCTCGGTACTTGTGGCCATTATGAAAAAGATATTTGCCGTATGACACATTCTGATTGAGCATAGATCGTTTACTCTGGCATGTGAGCTCGTGCAAGAGCCGAAACCGTAGACATCAACCAGGAAGCCAGCGTGCAGCATGAAAGGCAAGTCGGCTATTGGTGCGGAATATTTGCATCTGTGGTGCAGTAACTGGCGGCTTATAGCAAAAGTGTTGTAAAACTGCGGATGTGACAAGCGAGAGACATTCGGTTCAGAGTAATGATCGCCAGAAACAAAATACTTAGACTACAAGTTCTTCAGCTACATAGAAACTTCTCTCAATTCATTTGTAACCACGTGGCACAGTAGCTGTATTGCTATCCTGAAATCTATAAATCTGATGTTTTTCAGACCTCTTGTCTCTCTCAATTGTCTTTTCTCAGGGATTTCGTTTTTGCTAAAATACTCAAACGTTTAACTGAGAAAAACTTATTTTCCACTAATATCTCCATCTGTTTTTGCAAGAAACTGGTTTGGGGACATTGTGGTCAGGCATGACCTTAAAGTCTTTTTCTTTATTTTTTCTGCTGACCTCACTATTAAAGTAATTGTTAAACATTTCAAGGAGGTACTTTAACAAAATATTAATCTCTCAGCTAATCTGTCCAAGTTAATTTTTGCATGGTAGAAGCGAATGATGTTTGTTCGATGGTGGGTTTTGCTAACAAATCATAGAGACACCCATGGCAATGCTGTTTCCATTATTCTTTCTGATATGCTTCTAGAGCACCTTAAAAATGTGGCCCGGATGCATTGACGATGTTTCTGTCGTCTTCCTCAGGGAAGTTAAAATAAGTTTTGAGACCTCCTCAGATTTTTTTCAAAATATGCAGTAGGCCACAGAAAGAGGAGAATGCTCTAATATGCATTTTCTTGATCTTAGTAATTAACCATAGCAATTTCTATAACATTAAAGTGTATCATAAACGTACTAACACATACATATCTGAGCTTGAACTTGCATATTCGTTTAAATAATAAACTGTCTGTAGTTGCATCTTTGCTAAGCATAGTCCTAAAGCTATGCAGTAATTAATTTCTTAAAGGAGAAGTAAAGCGTATTAAATTAACCATATGTTTTAACAAAAATTCATCTTCTTCTTCATCTTCAATCGCCGTTTCTCCTTTCGGGTCGCGAAAATTAACAAAAATTATCCCGTTAAATTCGTTGATAATATTGCGAACCATGGAATAAGTTGATTTAAATCAACAATCAATTAATCTAATATCAGTAATGTCAGGAACAGTTTTCTAAGTAACTTAATTCTACCTTATGAAAATTATTTTAATTAACAGTTAGAAAAATTACTTAACATTAATGATCATGCTAACTTTATATATAAAAGCACTAATAAACTTGTTTTGTTGACCATTTTGATGGGAAATATTCGTCTGGGCTGTGTTAACAAATTACGTGTTAGTCCAGGAAATATTTCATAGGCAAAACAGGGAACCCGTAACTCAATGAACAAAATCGCACTGGAGAATGTGGATGATCGCGAGTGTGAGGGGCACGCGGTAGCGAGCCACCTAAAATGAAAATAGCCTTGCTGCTGCAAAAGTCTACAAACAAGGCGAAACGAACTCCGGTTTATGCAGCACGCAGCACAGCAAGGACCTGACCCCCACGATGGTCAGAGTGTACCGGCATCATCAGAGAAAGACACTTTCCGAAGAGGCACATCAGAAAGCATGAATTATTCAGTACTGTGACAACGTCAACAGCGACAAAGGATATGAACTCCTCGCGGATTGGACGAGCGATGTCGCCTCTCGCCAAGAAACTATTCAAACGACAGCCTGAACCAACAGCTTACTTTCTGGCACAACATGCGTTAGACGCTGCGAACAATAGAAGGACTTCCTGAGCCAGTCATCCAACCTCTTTATCTTGAAGGAGGTCCATGAAACACGGGCCGAGATGCAGGTGCTGGTCAGTCTTCCGACTGACCGTATTTTTGCGTTGTGTATAAATATTCCGTACGGATGTTGATTCATTATGGTAATCCTGCTACTAGTTGGTGCGTACGCTGGCTTCTTTCTTTCGGAGTACTTAAGAATGTTCGAGTAGTGTTCGATCATTACTTGATACTTGATTTATACCTTATACTTGTTACATTCACATTGTATTACATTGCAAAAAATTCTTGCAACTATTAATCTGCTTTCTTAAGCCTTTCCAAATGATGTGTCTGCAAAATTGACGTTTTTTACGCTGACTAATTGGGTTTATTCTTATGTCATTTTAGGCAGACATTGATTACGATGAAGAATTTGACGACGCAGAAGTCATTAAATCTTTCGAGAAATTTTTGTCGCCTGAAGAAGTAAGCTCCACGTGCCTTACTGTTTCGCTTTGTTTTATTTTATACGTATTCTAACCATCAAGGGATTTGAGGTTGTGGTCTGAGGGTTGGTTTGTGTTTTGGCAAAATGGGTGCGATTTGATCAGAGTACCAGAATCTGGGACCTAGTATGCACTGTCTGGTCTGCTCTACCAATCGTAGAGTTTTACAGAGGGTTACAATGTTTCTTTCACCGCATTCGCCTGATGCCGGAATGGGGTGGCAGTTATGTAAGCCGTGAGTCACTATTATTTGAGTAGCTATTGTCATAGATACATGATTTTATTGGCTGTAGTGATGTTCTTCTCGTCACCAGCGGCGCTTTCCGAACCGGTACTTGTTTTATGTTTCTGCAAAATGGCCAACCGAATAATGTGTTAGGCCGTATTGTCTGTGATGGCCAGACAATCATCACTGGCGGCAGGGTCGACCACAGCCACTGGACTTATATAGTATAGAACTAAAACAATAACTGGACAGATATGATAGACGAAAGTCTGCAGAAGGCAGAAAATGCAAAACATCAGGACGTGTTAGGGTTGGGCAGTGGACTCGAAAAAAGTTTAACGCTAAGCACTGCTTTAGTGACGCCACATATGACCTTTAAAAATTGGACCGATCTTGAAGAGAGCCTGGCACGACCACTTGATCAAGTATAACCATAATATAAGCAGGTACTTTTGATACTGTGTATGTTTTTCCTGATGATGACGGTGTGGCTGTTTGAAATTGTGGTTTCTGAGTCCGTTTTTGATGTTAAACTGGGAATTTTGTTCATTTGTATAATTTCATTGAACAGGAAGCCTTTTTCTCCTGAAATGAAAGACTTAAGAATCTGTAAATCTATGACGTTTGAAAATAAGCATAAAATCGTGTCTTAAGATTGTGGTTTAAGCTTATTGTGAATCTAAGATTTGACATGCTGTTCAGAAGCCAAACAGTGCGAGCTTGGAAGAAGCAGTTGGGAGCAGCGAAAATGAACTGACTGCTGTAAACAGACCTCCGGAAAGAACTCAAGTAGCGGCAGGGTTTCATACAGAGGTATTGTTATTGTTTTGTTGTTTATTTATTTTATTAACGTGATCATTTGCGTACGTTTATCGACCACACAGGCTATATGCTATTTTAGTTTGCAGCATTGATTTGAGCGATGTTTACTCTTCCATGATCAGCTCACTTTGCGGTATTTTACTCTACCTTCTTTCGAAGATCCTCGACGCGTTTTCGTTTCTTGGTTGGTGCACCCGAATACTATGAAAAAAATTTACAGACAGGATAATGAGGGAGTCTCCGGCAAGTAAGACCAATGAATGAAACCCTCTGCAATGTTCACCATTGTATTCATTTTTAAACATAAATTATCAGTTACATTAGGTACTGATTTTTAGTCAGGCCGATCATGGCAATTAAAGCTGTTAGATGCATGGCTGAATGGCATGCTGTCCTATCGTTTAGATTCCAAAGAGTTACTGGCCTTGTCTCGACTGGCTGCTCAAAACACAGTGGGATGAATTCGTTGCTTAAAGGAAATAGTTTTTCGGCACTGGGATTCAAGCCCCACACATCTATAGTTCATGGTCAACTTATATTCACTCCTCTCCCAAATCATATATTTTTTGTTTAACACCGCGACTCGTTGTTCCGGAAGTTCATATGATACTTCGGTTCTGTAGAGTGGTGGAGCAATGGATCCGAATTCGGCTTAGAACTCAGGAGGTATTTCGACGGGCGACTATATTTGTCTTAAACATGAATTTTTTGAGAAGGAATTTACCACATATAGCTTGAGACCGGGCTTTCTCAGTCAGTTGAGTGTCGAACTCAGAATCGAATGGTCCCAGGTTGGACATTTTGTCAAGCTTATTTGTCTTTCATCTTACCAAAGTTGATAAATGGGTAGCGTTATGTTGGAGGAAAACAGAAGACTACATGCGATGTTTGTCACTCGGGGTGTCAGCTCTGCATTTAGAAAGAAATAGGCACTTGTAGCTGATGACATGAAAATGGAGATCAGTGCCCTCGCCATTAACTTAATGAATAGAAGGGACGCCAGAATGTCCCCATCGTGAAAGTGCAAGTAAGATCCATATTCCAACAGTTATGAGCTTTCCATCATTTTTTCTATGGGTTACAGAATCTGTGGTAAAACCGACTTTGGTGTCAAAACCAAATGTTCGGTTTTGAACTGCCGCGCATGTATTATTCCAAATTTAAAGTTAATTTCGTTTCGTTTTTCTAGTGGAACGTGGGTGACCACTGTTTGGCGAAATACTCAGAAGATGGTCATTTGTACGAAGCGGAAATTCTAAGCGTCGATCATCAGAGAAGGCGTTGCCTGGTTCGTTACACGCAATATGGGAATGAGGAAGAGGTGGCTTTCAAAAACATGAAGTAAATTTGAAGAATAAATATCAAATATGTTGTAAAGCAGGTTTAAAAATGATCGATAATTAATATTCAGTAAAACTGAACAGTAACTTATCTGATCATGCTTCGGGAAAAACGCGACATAGTATATTTTTTAAAGGATTTTACTCTTCGATTCTTAGTTGAAAATGTTGCTAATTTGTTGATCCACTGTTGATAGATCAGGCAAAGCCAGTGGTACAAGTTTTATTGCCACTCATTTCGCTACCAAGCATTGACACGATTATTTCCTTTGTTGGATCTCGAAGATGCTACGGGCTGGTAACGAAGCAGTAAAAGTGCAGTAAAAGTTTTCTCTAGATATTGTCTATTGACCTTAACCCTGGATTAACAGACTGGCTATATT